ACTTCAATATAACCGTTTCGCACTTGTATGCAATTATTCATTCATTGTGCAGAGGATGTTGGTTTAGTGTTTTATTTTAAGAAAAAAATATATACAAAGAAATATTAATTCAATTCGATTATAATAAAAATATTATTACATATAATAAAAATATAATTAATATTTTTACAATGAACCATGCAGTAAATACGAAGGCTTCTGATGTGAAGAAAAATGAATGATTTTAAAAATTAAAACACCTTAGGGTGCAGTTTTTATATTTTATTTATTATTTTACAGATTTTATTAGGTTTTATTAGGTTAATAGTGAAATATTGATATACTTTAAAGTCGTTAACGATTAACTAGTAGTAATATCAGTATACACTGGGGCCTCGCTTTACGGCCTAGATACGTTCCGCAAAACTTGGCCGTAAAGCGAAAAGCCGTACAACGAATCAATTATTCTAATACGTATTCATACAAATTCAATGGGATCGGTTCCAAATTTAATAAATATATAGTATGGTTTATCATTCAAAATGCATTTTATTTTTTTATTTTGTTTAAATTATAAACATATTTAACAAGAACATAAATTTTACATAAAATAAAAAACTTCAAAAACATTCCATAATTTTTAAATACAGACCACTGTCACCATCATTTTGCGCTGGTGGTTTGAAAAATTTAGATGATGTGATTGATTTGTGATTTATAACAGCTAATGGCTGAGTTAATTCCTCGAGAGACATTAGCGCTACGTTCGCCGTCAGGATCGTTTTCAAGGAAGATGTTATTCCTTGTTCAAAATATGAAAAAGCGCTCGACATGATTTTTGATGTTAGCTGTTTGGATACAACAGGTTCTGTATCTTCATCAATTGCCGGCTCTGCTTGCAACTGATTAGCTGCAAGTAGATCCAGCACATCAGATTCGTTTAAATCTTCAAAACCGAGATCATGTGCTAAATACAAAATGTTTTGTCTAACTTCAGGAAGGAAATTAACTTCTGCATCGGTAGTTTTTATACATTCTGGCCATATTTCTTTTCCAAACATGATTCATTGTTGTCGATTTCAATTCCTTCCAGGATTCACTAATGTTCTCAACAGCATCCTTGATATTATAGTTTTTCCAAAACGTTTGAACCTTTGAAACGTAAAGATATATAAAAATTTTCATTTTCGATTTTTTTGCGATTACTATAACTTGCGCTACGGGAATTTAAAAAAGCCGTTATAGCGAAACATTTTAGGCCGTATATCGAAAACGTTCCTTAATTAAAGAGGGCCGTTATAGCGAAAGGCCGTATAAAGAGCGGCCGTATAGCGAGGCCTGGGTGTATTACTTTGAATAAAGACTTAACATTTCAAGATCACTTTTATATATTCTCCAAGTTTTATACTTTAAATGAATACAGATAAAATTAGTGGCGCATGGCATCGTGCCTTGAGGCAAATTGCTGGAATTATCTTATAGTAATGTAGCAATGTATATAAAATGAAACTGGACACATAATTGTACACAAAATATATTCAAAATATATTTTGGATACATACTTATTGCGTACTGGCTCCAAGAAGGATAAGTTCCAGCTCCTTTAGATAATGCACAATTATTGATCGAATTCGTTTTTAGTAGATCAAATATTTTATTTTTATGTAATAATGATAAATAGTTTCTCGAAAATGTTATGTATATTAATAATGTGAATGGGCACTTGGCTGCTACTGCCGCCGCCGTGAAACTGCATATAATGAATGAAATGACCTAAAAACGCATTGAGTGAAATAATGGCGAACACGTACATATTATCGCAGTATTGTTATTATCCATGATAGTAATATCAAATTCATTGTGAAGCGAATGTTCGCATGAATGAAAATATTTTATTACAATAAATTTATCTTTTATTTTAGTTATGCGTTCCGTTGCATTTGGCGAGGAAGTGGCAATTATACGCACGATGTTTTGTTATTGAATTATGAAATCCGCGAAAGAGTCGCTGATTTGCATACGGTTTCATTTTATGTCGAGATTTCTGAACTTTGATCGCAGATCTGTGTGAAATCCAATCCTATCTCAATAGTGGGATAATAAAAATTTACCCTTTTTAGAACTGGCAAGGTGAAAGCAAAAGCTATACATATTAGGATCCTAAAGTCGAAATTGTTACAAATTGCACTTCAATGATGAACTGTTGTAAAAAAACACAGAAAAATCACCAGCAATCATTTTGTCTATATTCATGCATATGAAACCCAATAAATTAAAACATAATCGAGATGTTTTTAAATTTTGTATTGCGACTAATGATGATAACGCAGAATAACTTTCAGCTTAAAAAGTGTTTCAATTTATTTAAATATGTACATCGTTAACTTCTCGTAAAGTAAGTTATAGTAATCGCAAAAAATCGAAAATGCTATTAATGGTGCTTTGTTTAGTATTGTATGTAATTATTTTGTTACAAAATTTTATGAATCTATATGTATTACAGCAACACCAAAGATTGAGAACTCTATATCGTTTATTTTGCAATTAGTAGAATTGAGAGTGGCATACATAGAAAATTGCATTAAGGTTAATTATTTAAATAATTCTTGGGTAAAACAACGCTTTGAAATTCAATCGTGTTTTAATAGTTCGTGATAAATGAATATAATTTACCAATTATTTTAATTATTTTAATTTTACATATTTATGATAAATATCCAAGATATTTGGAACAATCTTATATTATTTCATGTTATTATTTTACAACACCGCAAATTCAATATGTCTCATTTACTGTTATCGTTTATGACATTATTGGGTCATTCCTTATTGTATATCTGTCACTAACTTGTCAAACGGACATATAAACGTGATATAAATTATACTTTATACTTAATGGAGAACATTATATGAAATACAGTATGATTTCAAATAAATACCGCATTAGAAAACTCTATAGCCTTGAATGAGGCCGTTGGCATCGATCTAACAATAAAAGTGCAACATTGAGAGTAAAAATAAATTTAATTGCACCGTGGACATTATAAACATAAAACTGAATCAGTATCTAAGACAAAGTACGCTATTGAAACATTGTCGCAATCATTAAAATTTATCTATCGATCGATTAGTAAGTGTAGGATGCTCTTAAAAGCATCATTAACGAGTGATATTATTTATTGCACTCTTATTAAAACCATTAATTAATGGAAGATTTTTAATTGCGGTGGGATGGAGCTTTAAAGATATGAACTTTTTTTAACAAACATTATGTAACATCCTTATTTATAAATAAATGCGATGAATTGCTGTCCCAATGTTTTGTTTTATACTAATTCTAAATCGATGCCTTTATATATAAAAATTGATTTCACATAATCAGCTTCCCGAAAGAAAAACACTACAACAAGTGGTGTAATTTATAACTTTATCAAAGTTTAAATGGTTTGTTATGATTTAATATTTGAATTTCGTCGATGCTTTCTCAAAAGCGATTGAACTGTTTTCACAAATTTGAAAGACATTCGATTAAACTCAATAAGGAGCAGATTTGATTAGGTTTGCCGGATCTTTCAAGCAGTTTCTTTGGAATTAGCAGAAAAGTGCAAAAATGCTTGTACAAGTTTTCGCTAAATTTTAGGTATTGGGGTGATTAGATTTTTTACAATTGATTTATGGGCTTGCAAAAAAATTGTAACTTGTATCTGACTTGAATCTAACTTGAATCTACTTATAATCACATTCTAAATGAATTCTAACTATTTTAAGTAAATTCAAAATAAATGCTAACTAGATCCTAATGAGATTCTCGACATTTGTTAATATTGATTTATGGGTTTGGAAAGAGATTCTAACTTGTATCCACTTATAATTAGATTATAAATGCATGCTAACTAGATTCCAATGAGGTTTTAACTTGCATCTCACTACACCTTAATCAGATCTCAACTAGAAATTTATGAGATTTTGACAGAATTCTCATAGGATTCTTGTAGATTCTTATTAGGTAGTAGTTACGCATAAGATTACGAGATTCTTATAAGATTGTAGACCTTTATAAGATTTACTACATCCTTAATGAATTTTGACCAGAATCTTCGTAGATTCTTTTCAGAATTTTATTAGATCCTTATTAGGTTCTTATTAGATAACCTAGATTATCCTAGAATCAAATCAAAAGATCAAATCATCAGATTGTTTCCAGAATATTACTGCTCATTACCAGATCATCAGATTGTTGCCAATCTTATCTGAATCTTATTGAAATATTGTTGAGTTTTGTAAGACTCACCAGAAAATGAAATTAGATTCTTTTCGGGATCTTATTAGCTTCTTATTGGGATCTTTTTAGATTCTCATAAGGATCTGATTAACTTCTCGTCAGGTTGTTAGATTCGTATCAGGTTCTTACTACATTCTTGTGGATCATCAGATTGTTGCCAGAATCTTATTGAAATATTATTGTTTTTGTAAGACTCGGAATAAAAATCCTACAAGAAGTTATAATCTCAATAGATTCTGTTTAGAATCTTATTGCAATCCTAAAACATACACAAAAAATTCTTTGCATACAAAATTTATCTACTTTTTACCGAGAAATTTTCTTAAGGGGGTGTCCATTAATCACTTGAGCGAATTTTTAAGGATTTTTGGACCCCCCTCCCCCTTGGTGATACATGGTGATATTCAAAATTAACCCCTCTTCCCCACCAAATATCACGTGTATTTTTAGTTATTTGAAAAACTGTATAATTTGTTTTTCTTTTTGAAAATGTTTGAACTTTTTTGCGATATCTTACTACACCCCTTCCTCCCCAACGTGATATTTCGTGGTTTTTTGTCAAACCCCCTTCCCCCTAAAAACCTCACGTGATAATGGATGCCCTCTAACTATGTTTGTTCAAATTAATGATTTTAACCAATAATTTAGTGTAGGAATTTCGTTGTGTGTATCAATAATATCTATTGCGAAATGTATTCGTACAAAAGTATAATAGTTAATATTATTTTTTTTATTTCAGGTTTACCAAACTCTGGAACAAAGAGCCCATCAAAGCTGCAACAGGCGGATGCTGCGGAAATCGCCACCGTTGTGCAAGAATCTGTTGTCACAGTCGAACAGATAACCGAAACTAAAGCAGACATCGATAAAGGTAAGAACAAACCAAAGTTTTATTCCCGACAAAAAAATCAACAACAACATTCTTTATTCATTTAACGTGTTTGTAGACAAAAAACTGGAAACGTATTAATCAATTAGTTAGACCACCGCGGCTGTATTTACACGTTTTTCTGTGGGAGAAGGTCGAACATTTTAAGCCGGAACCGCACTCGATCGCTGACGGAAATAAAAAAAGATTCGGTAATTCTAAATCAGCATGCGTTACGTGAATTAATCACTATTTAGTAATCTTATTTGTATCGATTGTAGGATATTGGTTTATTGGCTCATTCTTTGAAAGATTTCGTATAGAGCTCTGTATACTATTACATGCATTGCTAAAAAAAATTTAATTGTTTGTATGGTATTGGCGGAGTAGTACTGTCACACTTACAATATTTATAGAAATTATTAAAGAAAAATTCATAGAATATACATTCATAATTTGTAAAATATATTTACAATTGATATTATCAATCATGAACAGGCAAACTAATTGTAACGTTTTTTTGTGAAATTATATCTTGACATCCACTTCTACGAAAAGAAGATGAACAGATGCTATACCGGTGATTTCATAATCTTCGTTCGTTACTTCACAATTAATAATTTTCTAGAAAAAAAGCTTTATTAAAACTTCAATTTTCTAGAAAAACGACTACAAACACGTATTTGGGGCTAGTTGCAGTATGTGCCGGAGCTTACTTTAGTACATTTGATAATCTTACTTATTTCTTAAAAAAATGACAATGACTTGTCTCTAAGTATTTCTTTTCATCAATTTACGTTAACTATAATTAATACAAGTAAAACATAGTGTCCCAATGAATTAGTTTTTTCAAGACTTTTACCTATTAATGTCCATACATATTGTTATAAATAATTTTATTATATTATATATTAATGAAATGCATTCAAATTACAAGATTGCAGTTCTATAGTAAAACGTATGTTCTAGGAAGATTTATTTTAAAGTCAATTTGCGACAAGTAAGAGTTACAAAAGAGTACAAAGATTGAATATATATCTTAAGCAATATATTTTATATTTAAAAATGAATACATATTTTGAATAATATCCACCATATCATATACTTAATAAATTTCCTTTACAATATGAATTATCGTTCTTCGTTGGATCGAGTAAGCAAATTTTTGGCGCTTAACTGCTATAATATTTCAAATGAAATGGTTTTTAATTCAGCCTATGACTTTTAGCTGGACTAAACTTTATTACAATTTAAAATTTATATTGAAATATTATATTGAAGTATTTTAAGCGATATCCTTCACATCATCTCAAAATATCTCGAAAAGAATTCCCCGTTGGATTATTTGCACAGATTTTGATGTTTCCTCATGAGTATGCAAAATTTTGCTGCTGAACTACTATCATATTTCTAATAAATTTATTTTTAATTCAACTTAAGACATTTAAAGTTAGACTAAACTATATTTTAAAACATGAATCCAAATAGAATGTAATGCAATGTCGAAGTATAAATGAAAGTTTGCATTTTGAAACACATATTCTCCAGGCGCAATACAGTACCAATAAAGAAAGGTGTTTTTGTTCATAGTGCTAACGCGATATGATAAATAAAATTATAAAATTATTTTTTGCAAAATGTTTTTATAAATTTAAATACTTGTAAATTATCCTATATGGTAAACACTCAAATTAACTCTAATAATATCTTACAAGTCAGTTCAAAATTTAATTGGATTTACAAAGATTTAGACAGAGTTCAAATGATTATGGTTAATAAAGAGTATAAATTCACGTAGCTTTAATTTATTTTTTTATTTTTTATATAAACGTTTAAAAACAAATTTTTAACTGTATCAAGTAACAAAGAATTTTTTAATAGTGATATTTATTTCGTAAGTAGGTTCTTTATTTATTTCCCCATATAATTTTCAACTGTCCTTTTTTCGTGGACATCTAGCAAAAAATTGGGATGAGTTATCAACATTTCGTTTTGTCTGATTGCAAATCGTATTTTATGAAAAAGTATATTATTACTATTGTTCATATTATTTCATTTTAAAATGAGTAAAACGATTCAATTAATTATTTTATTCACCTTCTATTTATAATTTATAATGTTTACTTATCTCCTATCAAAATTTACTACCACCACATATAAATTGATATGTTGACTTCTAGACACATTAATAGTCCCATGACAATATTTTTTGACATACAGTAAAGATATTTTGACATTAACATTTGACACACTAGACAATTAAATCATATTATACAAACATGTTTTTGCAACATTTCATTATTAATTAGTGCTATGATTAATTTTACATCATTTGACTTCTAAACTACTATCATTATTACATACCAATACTTAGCTGCAATTACTAAATTGCAGCTAACTAATTTTCTTATCATAAATAATACCAGCGGACAACATCAGTATTCTGGACTCATTATTCTATATTTTCAAATGGCGCATTTATGTAATAAATGTTAAGCAATATATCTCCTTATAGTACGGAGCTGATAAGTCGGAATATTGGCAAAAAACAGTATCCGTACACACAAATATACAGCATATTATGCATATTTAGTCTATGATATTTTTTATTTTACATTTTGAGAAATGGAGATTGCGTTTATTTTAAAAACGTTTGAATTTTAGAGATTTGGATTGCCTTTTTTCTCAGGGACTTCTATAAAATTTGTATTATTTAAAACTATTTTAACAATAACTGAAAATATAAGTAAAAATAATATACAAATATCACAACATAATTTAAAAATTTCTGTAAAAAATTTTGCCTATAAGGTTTTACTTGACCATTTCAGAAAGTCATTTATTTCCTCTCCTTCTATAGAATGTTTAACATTGGGATTTCTCTACCACCTTTAAAATTAAAAGTGTTTTGCGGACAATTTAGTCATTTAGTAGGAAATTAAGACTATTAAAAGCAATAACAAATAATTTTAAATCTCCCAAACAAAAAAATGTATTAATACACGGCATGACTATTTTTTTTTCTGGACAATTCAAGTTATCTTGAATAGCTCAAAAACAGCTGCACTGATTGAAAAGAAATACAAAGCTATTTCATGAAACTTGATAATTGCTAGAGCTGATCCTGATTTGAGAGTCGATAGGCTCAGCCGTTTCTTTATAATTACCAAGTAAGTGCAAAAAAAATTATATGACTTTTGAAAACAAAACGCTTTTAAGTAATAGTTACAAATAATAAGTCATAAATAGTAAAACTTAAAAATCAGTGATTATTGGGCTGTTTAGGTCAAATAACTATATTTGAAGATTAGTTTTTAGCTGTACATAAAGTTTAAACTAGTAGTGTATGGCATCGTGCCTTATGGCAAATTGCTGGAACTTACCGTACCGTACTGAAATATTTGAGGACTATTAAATGCAAATGTATTATCATAAGCACCGAGACCTTCATTATTCGTATTTTAAAGACAAAATAGAAGAACTTATAAATTGGACGATGACGTTTATATAAGTTTACATGAAAAGTAAATGAATAGAACATAATGAATAATTATACAAACTGAATTGCAAAGTGAAAATTATTTATTTTATGTATATAAGTGAACTTTGGAATTTTAGCTAGTATTAAAACTAAAATCTGAATTATTTTCGATTTTCAAATTGTTTTTGGAAAGTATGCCAAAATGTTCAGAAACCTTCGAAATGTGAAGATATGCACAAAATTTCTTTTTCGATTTTTGGACTATTACTTTAACTTACCCTTAGTGAAGTTAAGAAACACTCATATGCTTCAGACAGTTTTGTAACTACCCACACATTGGGAGCCAACATCAACAAAACATAATTTATTTAAAAAATAAAATAGATGCACCGATCAATGCAATACTAAATTACCTCTTATTTACGACATGTTATGTTATCCCAGGAGGCAAATGACATAACATATATATGTTATCCAAGAATAGGTCCAATAGAATCGTTTTTCGAGTTGACTTGATTAAAAATAGAGTTGTGTGAGTAAGTCTTCGCCTTGAGCCCTGTCTATGATCTCTCTGGCGTGCTGTTTGCCCTGCTCGAAGTATTTAATACTTGGCTATTGGAACATATCTCTTCTTTGTGCATCTACCACGCAATCCATCTCGGATTAATTCGGGCGATAAGTCAACCGCAATTATTCTGATTTACGATCGAAACGAATAAGTACGCGACTCGCGCTGTAATAAAATCATAGGAATGCTTGAAATATCGTTTTGTGATATTGTTCGATACATCGTCTTTTGCAATGCTCAACATATGTCTACAAAGGCAATATATTTTATCTTTTAAATTTTTATTATTATCGAATGGCAATTCAGCGATTTCTGATTTTTTTGCAATATTTTCTATAGCATGAGCAATATTTTAAACATCTGTTAAAAATAAACGTTATGTATTATTGTAAAGCTAGTCTGCAAAAGAGCGTAAGGTTTTTTGTACAAATACTCTATTTTTGTTACGTAGTTATAGAATTTTATTAAAACTCTTCTTCGATAATTCAGGTTGTTGGGTTACAATTTAACACTTGTAGCTGTAGACTGTATTAAACACTGATTTGTTTGTATATTATGTATTTGTTGCAGTTTTAGTTACAATCACTGATGTTACTAAGTTATAATGAAAGAAGATATATTTATTTATTATTTACTATACATGTTTCGCGAACTTTACTTTTAGAAGTGAAAACTAGTTCAATTAAAACACTCCGCTACCCCCTCTACCAGGGGTAGCAACCATTCCGTGTAAAGCTTAATGCCCTGAAGGTGGTCACCTTCATGGCCAATATAATAAAACGAAAATACGTTCGAACAAATACTTATTTTGTGATTTCAAATAAACTGTTTCGCAATGGGTTTCATTAAAAATGCTCGTTTTGAATAATTTAGAAGTTTCATTATAAATTTTGTAAGACATCATATTAAAAACTAAGAGTGATCTAACTAACAAGGAGAACCTCAGGTTTACTC